TCAAAGGGAAGAGATTGTCTGGGCTGTCTTTGTGGAAAACAGAGTCACGGAGATTAGGAAACTCACAGATCCAAAAACATGGAAACATATTGCTGGAACAAAAAAATCTAGCTGACCTCCCATCAAGAGGTTGCACCGCTAAACAACTTTTAGTAGTTAGATGGTGGGAGGGCCCCGACTGGCTGAAGAAAAATCAGGAAGAATGGCCTAGACAAAGGGAAATACCGGATATGGAAATAGTGAATTCAGAAAAAAGGAAATCAGTCATTTCTGCACTAAATACGCAAAGGGTAGAACATTTTTTTGAGAAATATTCATCTTACCATAAAATGTTAAGAATAACTGCTTGGATATGCAGATTTATCAACAACTGCAGAAGACCAGATTCTAAACAATCAGGAGAACTCACGGTCCCTGAAATAGAAACTGTAGAAAAGAAAATATGCAAGATAATACAAATAGAAGCATTTGGCAAAGAACTTAAAGTTAGCAACCTTTGTACCTTTTTTGACTCAGATGGCCTTATTCGGTTAAAGACCAAGATTACTAGAAGAGAGGAAGAAGAAAATTTTCTCTGTCCAATTGTATTGCCCTCAAATCATGACTTAGTTCATAGGTTAATTTTAGATTACCATTTGCGACTATCCCACGCTGGTGTGCAATTCGTACTAGCCAATATTCGACAGAAATTCTGGGTCCTGAGAGGAAGAAAAACAGTACGTAAAGTTCTTATGAAGTGTGTTCGCTGTAGAAGATATAGCGCAAAGAATATAGAGACTGTTCCAGCACCTCTTCCTGAAGATCGAGTTCGAGATGCTCTGGTGTTTGAAGTGACCGGAGTCGATGTAGCCGGTCCTCTTTATTTACGAAAAGGAAAAAAAGGCATGGATCTTGCTCTTTACTTGCGCGGTCTATCGCGCGATACATCTTGAACTGATAGAAAGTTTATCAACAAATGCGTTCATCTTGGGATTAAGGAGATTTATTGCCAGAAGAGGTCGTCCAAGTATTATTTACAGCGACAATGGCACTAATTTCGTTGGAACTGAAAATCTGTTTAAGATCGATAGATTGGAAAGAAATAGAATGTCAATTCAACTAGTATGAGAATACAGTGGAAGTTTAATCCCCCAACTGCTTCATGGTGGGGCGGTTGGTGGGAGAGGTTGGTACAAACAGTGAAGAAGATGTTGAGAAATGTTCTCGGCAAGTCCTGTGTCTCTTACGAGGAAATGTTGACTATACTTTGTGATATCGAATCAGTGAATCAACTCAAGACCCCTTACGTACCTTTCAGAAGATCCAAATGATCTTACGGCACTAACTCCTTCAATGTTTCTACAAGATGTGCACGACGTCGGAGTGCCTGACTTAGACTACCTGGATACCATTAATCTGACAAAAAGATACAAGTTCTTGCAGAACTTAAGAGAACATTTCGCAAAAGATTTCGTGATGAATATTTAGCTATCCTAGTGCAAAAACCATCTAAACGATCTACTCGGACTATCAACAAAAATGACTTGGTGTTTGTCGGCAGCGACAACAAGAAGAGAATAGATTGGCCAATAGGTCGTGTTGTAGAACTATATCCTGGGAAAGACAACGAAGTACGTGTTGTCAAAGTGAAAACTGCTAAGACCTGTGAAACGTATTTATCCTCTCGAACTTGATAGACCTAACTTGTTTAGTGACTTCACCATGAACAGAAAAAAACTCTGCCGATAAGTGTGACAGTGATATGAACTATCAAACTAGATATGGACGTAAAACTGTAAAACCTGTTACATATTTTTAAATTGCTATACTAATTTTTGTTTCTTTTCAGTATTTTAGAAATTTAATTGTCCTAACAGTAGTCAATTGGAACATGTTATCTGGATATGGTATGAATGTAATGCAGAAAATGTTTAGATGTGTAATCCTTCTTTGTAAGTATTAATTTTAGAGCATTAGTTACTTTTCATATTTGTGAAAGTTGTACTTGAATTTTTGTTTGATTATTGATAAATTTTGTTTTGATTTTCCCATCTTATCGAGGTAAAATCAAAAGGTGGGAGGATGTCACATTCTTGCCACTAGGTGGCGGGCATCTCTTCCTTTACTTTTGCTGTAATTAAGTTCCGAGAAGCAGTCGAGATTGGAACCGCTCTGAGGAGCGTAAAGACTCAGAACTAAAAAATGTACTGTCTTAAAATAATTATCACCTACCTTGTAAATAGTGTATATTAGCGTTTTCTTTCAATAAATAATTAAAAGACAAGATGGCCTGCTAATTGTAATAGAAACTCTTACTGGAAAACGTGATTATTAGAAGCCTGGCGTCGAGAACACTGAAGATGCAGCAGGTAAGGAATTTTACATTAATTTTATTGTAAATAGAAGAACCTGATGCAAAATACATTGAGGAAGCATCGTAAAAATTTCTGCATCATCCAACTTTTAGTTAATCAATCGGTTTAATTGACTAAGCAGCAATTTACACGATATGGAAGCAAAACCCACATAGGATGTAAAAAACATAGTTGAATGCTGGGATAGTCAAGCTTTTAGTGCACTTAAACCTAACCAAAATAATATATTTACATATGTATACATAGAAAAATCTTAAAATTTAAAAATATTATATGTTTATATTAAAACTTTTATCAACTGAGTCAATTTTGTATGAATAAATACTAGTATAGCTGTATTTTCAAAGGAAATTGAATTTTTTTTTACACTGAAATTATAAATGTTGGCATTTAAGACGGGTACATTTTTTTTTCTGTAATCAGTACCAGACTCAAAATACCATATATTTGTGAATATAAGCTGAAAGTGTGGTTTTTTTATTATTTACCCATAATTAAAAACCATACATAAGCCGAAATGGAAAAAAAAAATTCTGTAACGTTCTAATATGTCACCATGGGGGCAAAAGTGTTGCCAAGCTTATAAAATGGATAGATTACTTTCCAATTAAATCATTATAAAGTAAAATGCCATACACCAATGGGGGACAGCTTTAACTCTGTCAACCCTACCTGAAGGTAGCACATTTCTTTAACTCTTTTTATCTTGTGTACAATATGTGGCATCCGTGCCACTTTATTTTTTTGTCTCAAAGATGAGCAGGAAGAGAAATTCTTATATGACAAGTTTCAAAATACATGCGAATCACATCTGATGAAGATTCTAAAAATAGAATGATGGCTCAGCATTTTTTTGTAAATAAAATATAAGTTTAAGAGTAGAGAAAGCAGGCTGCAAATTTTGCCAACATCAGATTTTTCGTTTGGGCATACCAAACCAGCATTATAAAAGACTGCGAAAATAAAACAACTCATTTTCACAAAGTAAATATCTCATTTCATTTGAAATTTTGTTTTCATAAACTTACAAAATATAAGGGGGGAAAAATGCAACACTTAGTGATTTATTGCTTGCACCCAGCTAACAGAAAAGTGCCTACGTTTTTTGCGAGATTAGTGGATCTGCATATAAGCTGACCCTTCTAATTCAGCTTTTAAAAAATTCTCGGTTTATATATGGATATATACTGTAGTTTACTTTCATAACATCCTTAGTTTTATTTCAGAAATCTTAGTTCTTGAAATCGAAAATACATTGTTATGCTCTCTCTTTTCATTATTCAGAAACAGACTAATTATTAAACAGGTTCAATTTTCTTTCAAAATGCAAGTTATGAAAATGGAAAAGAATAAAAGATTTCAACACCCATATCTAAATACAATTAGAAAATCAAATTTTAACAGTACAGTCAAAAGTCGTTAATCCGGACTCGTCGGGACTTCGGAGATTCCGGGTTATCGATTTTTCCGGATTATAGATCATTAGTTTAAATCTGGTAAAATGGCCTGCAGAAATTATAAAATTAAAAATATGAAACCGTAATTTATGAAATAAAGAATAATTATGATCTAAAGTGCATCAAAATTTACCAAAAAAAAAAAAAAAAAAAAGCTTAATATTTATTTTTTTACTTTATTACACATTTCTTTCAATGTAAGTTGTTTAAGTTGCTTCGTTTTTTATGTGATAATACATTCTCTTTAATTCTATAAACAGACTTAATTTCTTGTTCAGTTACAAAGTTCCGCTGTTCAAGTCTTATAATTGCTGTGTCTACCGACTAATCTGTCAATCGAAATTTTTTCGTTTTCAATAACCTCTGTCACTTTCTTCGCTATCGGAAGTGAATTATAATGACGAGGAATTTGATTTAAATCATATCAAAGACGGAGTACATCGAGATCAAATACTTCATTTAGTAAGGAATTATAAGCCAAATAAAAACATCTGATCTGAAGATAAGGATAGTGCTGACAGATCAACTTCCAATTCATTGCGTGGCGCCAGCCACAGCGTTAAAGATAAACAAAGTTTAGATAAACAAAATGTTAAAGTTTACATAAACAAAGGATATGCCTTTATCCATTTTTTGCAGCAATTCCACTTTTTGTTTAATGGACTCCTAAACATACTTTCGCTTTGTAGATCCATTACATATTAGTAAATATAAATTGGAAATTCTATTTGACATAATCGAAAGTTCAAGCTTACTTTTATAAAATTGCTCTAACAGTCTGCAAAAAATAATAAGCCGGATCCAATTCGAAGATTAAGGAACAACGCAATCTGCAACATTAACTGAAATAGATAATTAGATAATTTTAGCTTAGCTTATACCGTCCGTAACGCCCATTCGTAAACGTATTTTGCGCACGCGCAGATTCGCAGCCGTAGAGGTCTTACGCGCATGCGTCAACGCGATGCATGCACAGAAAGTTTGTAGCTTTGAGGTCCAGATTATGGGTGTCCGAATTAACTACTTTTGGCTGTACTAGTAGGTTTTGGAAGGTTACAATATTTATTTTTAACTTTTCATTTAATTTAAAACTCTTTTCATCAATACATATTTTATTTTGAGTGCATGCATTACAACAGGTTTACATTTTAATAACAGGGGAAAATATTGCAGGCAAAATAAAATTCACCTTCATTGGAACCATCTTTTCCAGTGAGAATTTTTAAGGTCATTATAATTTGTTGTGCAACAGGTGCAGACATGCTGGTTGCATAGCTAAAACTGTGAGAATGAGAGCGGAGATGATTGATCAAGCGCTGCAAAAAAAGAAAATGTTAGTTATAAAATATAAGCAAATTATAAAAATATTCTGTTTTAAAATTTTATCTCAAATATAGATTCTGCTTGCGATATCTAAAGTTATGCAATTAAATCTTCTTATATAATCAACAGTTGCTTTTCCCATATTAATCAGGGAAGCTTTTAAAACTATTTATAATACTGATGTGATTTATTTTCACTCAGAAAGTTAGGCAAGGGTTTTATGCCAAGGAAATTAAATAAATTCAAATAAAACTGATTCACCACAGTTCATTTTCATTCAGCAATAAGTCAAATTCATCCCCAAAGCAAGAACATGTTTGGGATCTGCGACATTTAACCACTTGACTTTTCCCCATAGACAGACTCATCAATTCGAAAAGTATCATCAGTGAACCTTAACACAACGTATATATTCATATACATATATGTGATGTACCAGCTTTAGTCGTAGCTTAAATCATCAGGCGATAAGTTAAAAAAAAAAAAAAAAAAAAACAGGATCCATTTATTATTATTCAGTAGAAAATAGCAGTTACAAAAATCAGATATCCGGAGTAAATAAAAAGAATTACTAATAACTTTTTGTATGAAGTTTACTGCATCGTGACATTTAAGAAAAAGCCCCAATATTCCTTTTGCGAGTCCTTTTATAGCCTCTGGAAAGGCGGAGCTTCCAAGAAATGGTGTCAGCCAATCCAGTTCGCTTTAAATATCTCCAGAACATTCTATAACTGTACGTGTAGAAAAGGGGGGAAAAACAACTTGACTACGGGGCTGTGGATTTAATTCCACGTACTTTCAAATAAAAGAACGTCGCCATTAAAAATGAAAAGAACATACAGTTATAAATTTAAGTGTATTCTTGACTATGGAATTTTATTATTACAAATATATTTTAATAATTCAAACAATATTAAAAGCCAATGTCATTTTAAAAGGTTTAAATTTATTGCATTAGGGTTTAAAGCTACCGGCAACACTTTTCAAATTGAGAATTTCGTCTCGGGGAAACGATAAAGCAGTTAAAGAGCTTATCAGTTTAGAATTTTATAATAAACTTATTTAACTTTGTTATTTTAAATAACAAGGTAACATATACCAAATTAGATATTTTATGGATCCTTATCCAGTAACACTCAAAAGGTTAAACAGATCTGTTTATATGGACCTTGATTAACCTCTCATTACTCAATTTACAGCTTTAAACTTTGCCTCAAAGACTTGAATCTACATTACAACAAAGCCGATAGTTGATAATCTTGAAATATTAAAAATCACAAGATTTCTGCAAGAAAACCGGAAGATACATGTTGCGGGGCAGTACCATTTTAAAGGAACTGACTTAGGATTCAAAAATATAAAATCTTATATGCTTTATATAGGTCTTCATTTTTCAAATGCAGACCTGTATTCCTATACTATTTTCTAATTAACTAAAAAACAGAGACGATAATAAAAGGCACAATTTAGAGAAGAAAGTAAATATTTAGAAAATATCGGAAAAGCATAGTACAGTATAACGCCTGCGATCCAGAGTTGCTGGGACTTTCCGAATTTGGAATTTTTTCGGATATCAGATTATCAGTTTAAATCTCATAAGATAACAACACGTAGAAATTATAAAATGAAATATATGAAATAATGAAGCATTTATGAACTTAAGGGAATCAAAATTTACAAAAAGAGCTCAATATTTATTTGTTTGCTTTATTAAACATTTCTTTCAATGTAGGTTGTTTAAAATCTTTTAATTTTGTAACTCTGAAAATACTCAACTTCCAAAAATGAATGGTGTTCCAAAAATGAATAATTTTTTCCACAATATGAGGGAAAAAATAGAACTTAATCCTTCTTTACAAAAATTAATCTGGCTAATCGAGAATTAATCGAATTTATGCGAAACCAAAATGAACTTCTTGTTGTGACGTCATACTTATATATTATTGGAACTACCGTAATTTTGCGCGTATAGTCCGCAGACTATCTGTGTTTAAAATGCGAATTTTTGAAGCTGAGGACTATCCACCAGTGCGGATAATACGCTGGTTGTTCACGGTTAAAATCGTTGAAATTTAAAAAACACGCTGTCGTGAACTGCCGATAATCAAATATAAAAAAAAAAGCGCGAGATTCCAAGAAAACATTCGTATGTATCGTATCGATAGTAAACCATAGAGCATAGTGCAGAACGAATGAGTAGTAGCAAGTAGAGCTCCTAAAATCCAGGCTGCCGCATCAAGCGATGCCGGGATTTCAGCCAAAGAAAGACTCACTTAGCGCAACCAGAGTCTTGTATCCCAGTATCCTTCGCACTGCTTTAGCGCAACTGCCGGGAGGGGGAAAAGTAATTGATGCGTCAGCTCGGTTTTTAGGAGCCTTAGTAGCAAGTACCTGGAGTACGGAAAAAAAAGCGTGATTCGTTTACTTATAGCGTGGTTTGGCAACACCGAGTGAGTGAGGTTCGAAGGTCATATTTCACTACCACTTATTACGAGTATAGAATGTTGCACAGTATTTTGTTTTCGTATTTTGTCTTTCATCTTCGATAACGTTGATGAAACATCGCTGGGAAAAAGATGGAAATAGAGAAGCGGGCCCTTATTTTGAAGTGGACGAGAAAGCGGTGAGAAATTGGTGCAAACAAAGGATGAAAAAGTAATTTCGGACGTATAGTCCGCGGACTATCTGACGGTTTTTGAAAATTTTTTTAATATAAAATCGTGTCTGCGGACTATACGTGCGAAATTACAGTAAATCACACTGTGTGATGATAATGTATATGTATTAACAGTATTGTAAATTCTATAATCACATTACAAATCATTCATTGCATAATTTTTTGGGGGGGGGTGGGAATGTTTTCTAAAATTCTAAAATATTCCAGTTCTTTGCACTTTTGGTTAGCTGAATGTCAAACAGCTGGGCTTTTACTATATTTTTAAATTTTAAAAAGTTGTAGTCTACCTGAAAATTAAAATAATTTAACAAAAATATCAGAATTTTTGCCCCCAAAACAGCAATCATTTATTCAGATTATATAATGAGGATATGATTATAATACCTTGGATCCAGCAATATAACCGCCGGATGCTCCAAAGCTTTTTGTAAATGTTCCCATTAACAAGTCCACATCTTTGGGATTACAATCAAAATAATCTGTTACACCTCGTCCACAAGAACCTATGGCACCAATACTATGAGCTTCGTCCACGTAAAGATAGCATTTGTATTTCTTTTTAATTGCTATTAGACCAGGGAGATTCACAATTGTTCCTTCCATGCTACAAAATAAGGGATTTCAGTTTAAAATTACATGCAAAAAAATATTTAAAAAAATTATTGAATACAGCATTTTTCTATTAAATACAGAAAAGTAGGACTTTAAAAAATACATAAATGATGTGCTCCACTAACAGTTAAAAATATAGTATAAATGCACAGAAAGGGAAAATAATATTATATACCATATATAAAAATATTATTATGTTAAAATATCTTTAAATCATACCAAGTTCATTTTCTCAAACAATTTACCAAAATCAAATTAGCTGTAGTAAATCATTTTGCAATTTAACAAAGACTGCTTTTTTGTCTAACTCCTAATCGTATCACACTGCTAAACAAAAAATAGCTTCTCCTAATTCTAGCATTCTTTTGTGCCACTGAGCTCTATTCCCTTTACCAATGCAATTAACAATTTGAAAGCAATCTGACCATAGTTTTATTTCTTTGACTATCAAGATAGCTTTATTTTTGCCAATTCCTCTTTGCTATTATAAAGGATAAAAAAATTACTCATTTTCATGCATATTTCCACTTCATTAACTAAAAATTGCTCAAATCAGGGTTCGTACACATTTCTGCACATGGAAATTAAGTATTTTTAACAACTTTTAAGGACCATTAACAAAAAAAAAAATTAAGGACCTATGAGCAAATGGGAACTGAATAAATTCAATTGAAGATATTATCTATGCCTGAATTTCACTTTTGTAATATCCTAAAAGTAAAATAGATCGCTAAGTACTACGCATTATTGCTAAACATGAATTAATTAACATAATTGTTAATAAGTTTGAGAATAAAATAAACTTTATGCAATTTATCAAGTAGCATTAAATATTTTACACATATGATAGTTGGTCATATTTGAAAGAAGATAAGTGATATTTATGTTTTACTAACAGTTAGCTTTATGTTGATTTTTTATTTATTTATTTATTATGTCTCATTTTGTCACATACTTGGTCAGTCTAGAGGTTTAGTAAATAAACAGGTAGATTTTTTATGTCAAATTGCATAGGTTAAAATGAGAAGTAAGATCATGATCAGCATGATTCATAACATAAGACTGAATGTTGTCACCACTGCTGCTTGTCTAGAGAGAGACCTGCTGATTAGAACAAACCTGAAAGGTCTGATGTAGGCAAGGTTGACAAGTGTTGAAAGTTATTCAGGCTCTATTTGATGATTAATGTCATAGCTTCGTGTACAGTTCGAGGGGTTGTAACCCAGTTAATATACTTTAAGGTTCCAATAAGCCATTAAAGCACCAGAGGTGGTAAGTTGTTTTTGTATTATTTTAAGTCTCAGTAGATGCATAGAATTTGTTTTTACATTTTCTTTTTCATTTTAGAATTACTTGAATTTTTACATTTTTATATTTTATCTTGTGACCACAGTGAGTATTAATGAAAGGTAATAACTCGCTTTAATATGTAGAGATAATTTTTAAAGGTAAACAGTTGGTTATAATTTAATTAGGTAGTTACTCATTATGGATTTACATGACCACTATTAAATTTTATTTTTTAACAATAGCCCTATTAAAATCAAAATCTAATAAAATTTCACATTTTAGAATACATGTAATTTATGACACAGATTCTTAAACGATATTAAGATTTTAAAGATATATTAAGATTACGATTTAAAGATATATTAAGATAAACGATATTAAGATTTAAAGATATAAGAATTACACATTAAAAGCTACAAAACATTTATGTTCTATAACAAATATATCGATTTCCTTCTCTTTTTCCTCATCTTTTCTAACAATTAGAGATTTGTCTCAATATGCAAACCAATGCTCTTGCTAGTTTCTGCATGCTTTATCTTCTAACTTGTCAACCTCTCCATAATGTACTTATGAGGGTTTAATTGATCTAGTAAAAGTTAAATAGTCCAAAACCCCGACAGATGTGAAGCATATTATTGCTATGTCGGAAATTAACTACAATATCAGACAAAGGTTTAAATAAGCCTCTTATTTAAAAAGAACTTAGAACATAAAGGCATGTTCTGATGCTAACAAAATCAATTACAGCTCATGGTGATGTAATTAAACAAGAACAGTCAAATTCAAACTAATAATGTGGACTAGTGGTCAAAGATTATACAATTTTAATTTAATCTGGCTCAATAACTCTATCATATGAGGAAATAGAAATGGGAAATTATAGTAAGGGTTTGAAATAATAAACAATTGGGTAATTTACATAATAATAACTGCACATGTCTTTGAAGAATAATTTCCTTTATGTACTCAGTTTCTTTCTTCAACACGTTTCTTTTTCATTTTAGAATTTTTGGATTTAATTAAGGATTTGTTATTCTAAAAAACACTAAATGCATTTAGAATGTACAGAAAAAGTGGCTAATTTTATTTCTTTAGTAATATGAGCTTTTAGAAGCAATATGAAATAGTAAAGGCCGATTACAAAGCTGATGTGGTAGAATTTCTAGAACTTAGTGACACACCAAACAACAAAATCCAGAAATGGCAAAACTTTTAAAATTCAGAGCAAGCATTGGAAGTAGAATTTAGGATCCACAAAGATTGCATCAGGTGGGAAAATGCCTAGTGCCAGCTTTGTGTATGATGCATTACGAAATATCAGATGAAACTTTTAAATTCTAAGTTTTCAATTTCTTTATTAATAAAAAAATTCATTTCAATAATGCTTGCCCATGTGATAAGATCAGAAGCATTTTTGATGTTTTCCATGCTTCTGTCTGGTGAAAAGTAGAGAAAATAAAGAGAAGATAAACATGTTAAGTTTCTAGTATCAGAAGTAATACATTCAAATATTATGTTTTCATTGTTCTTCCAGATGTTCTCCAAGAATTAAGAAATTCATTGCAAACTTTCTGTAAAATAAATCCACTACGTGTTCATGCCATGGAGACATTTTTCATTTTGTCACATATTTCTTGAATCTTCTACAATCGTGGGTCTATAAATCTGGCCTTCAAATCCTTCTAAACTTTCCAAGCTGCAATGTCTAAAATCCTAAAGAAAAATTATCCCTTCCATTTCTGTAACAGCAAAAAGCCTGAAATATTTTGGAAAGAAAAGGAGGGAAAAGTATAAAATTAATTTTATAGAGGAAACTGATGCACATTCTGAAAATTTTGAATATTCTGAGAAAATTACATGGGAAAAACTCTTACTGTGAAAAAATTAAAAACAAGACATTTTTAATTAATTACACAGCTAATTTTGCTTTTGCTAAGGGCTTTTTTGTAAATTGTGCTTAGCATTATACCTTGTTTATTTTTTAGATTTAAAATATTGTATAAGTTGCCAAAATGAAACTTTATAATATGACAGCGAAAAATGTTTTATTTTAATAAGGACTCTTAAAGACTGTACAAACCCTGTCAAATTCTTTGTAAGTTACTTTCTATCTTTCTACTCTTACCCAATATATATAATAATAACAGCATGCTTTTTCATTTCTCAACTTTTATTTGAAAACTACATCTATATCGTTATAAGCATATAAAAAATTATACACACAGTATACATGCAATGAACACAAAAATCATCTATGAATATAATCACACCATAAACTAATTTGGTACTATTCCATTTTGAGGAGCATAAAAAAAAAAAATCGCCAAACTATTGTTGATGTCAGTGCGACCAAAAATAATTGTGGCAACCCTAATGCAAGAAAGGAAGTATAATAGTAAATAAGTATCTAAGGATTATTGTTTTAACATATATGAAATTAACATTTCATGTAATACTATTTTATAATTATAATTTATATAAAAAAAGCTAAACATAACTCAATGGAAGCATAAGAGTAAATAACTATTTCAGATCATAATTATAATTCATATAAAAAAAGGCTAAATATAACTGAATGGATTCCTGTATCGCTATTTCACTACCAAGTTATTACTAAAGCATAATTTCATGTCATTGGTTGATCAAACATAATTTTCTATAATGAATGATGCCTTTTCTTTGAAAAAATTCTATTGCAGACTTTTCATCATGGGCAATTCCCAAATTGTTTCCATAGGATATCAAAAAAGGATTTAAAAATTAAACTAGTATTTCAATGGCATCTTAAGAAATATAGAACTATCTAAACTTACACAATTTGAAATCAGCGCGTATGCTAGATTTGGTGCTTTTGCGCATGCATTTTCACTGCAATTTTTTATGGTCCTCAAAACGGAACAGTACCACTAATTTAAAATGTTCTTTTCCACCAGTAATTGTACAGAACAGGGGTTCCCAAAGGGTTTGATTAAATTTTTAAAGGGGGTTGGTAGCCGAATATGCAGCAATTGATCAATTGATCGGCATAATCAACACACCGTCAATTATAAAAAAATATTTTTAAATAAAACTGATAATTAATTGCTTTCTGATATAAAGCTGCATCATGTAATAAGGAAGAAATCATATAAAATAAACATAAGGGGAAACACTAATAATGTATTTTAAAAACCAATAATATATATTTTTAAATTATATAAATTTTTATACAATAAGTACGATATAAAAAGTAAAACAGAATCAAAAACAATATGAAGAACACAAAATTAGTATTGAAAACAAGAAACAGCTTAAATATTTTTGAATGGGTGATTTAAATAATTAATTAAACAATGTTATGTCAAGTATTTTAAAACTGCATCAGTACATCCATTACACAAATTAAAATCAATTTTTTGTACGATTAAAATCTGATTTTGTTTCTGAAAGCTAGTTAAATTTGTTTTGTAGAATTAAAAATAATAATACAAAAATTAATTAAATATAAATCTAATAAATCATTTTTCAAAAGTTTTATTCATATTCTTAATGTAATTGTTGCCTTAAAGATTTTTGTGTGCAATTATTATTTGCACTGTACGTACTGTAAAGAAAAAGGTAAGGGATGAAATGCAAGAAAAAGATTAGGAATACCTGGTCTAAATATATGCACACATCCCCTTATTTGCATGTTTTATGATTTGTTAGCTGGACAACCAGTATATAACTACAAAAACGCAGACCTGCCAACCATGAAATATTAAACCACGAGGTTCATGCTGTGCAGTAACAACATTTAAAAGGTCTTCCACACTAATTTTAACAGTTTATTATGTATGGTTTTCAAGATCATTGTACTACTTGTAAATCAATTCAGATGTAAAATATATTAGCATTTAATTGTATATTTTAAATTTTATATTCTTTGGCCCTCTGTAATTTTTTTTACACTTTTATACCAAGAAAATTTCAAGGAAGGAAAACTTTTGTTTGTTAAAGTACTTTCAAATACAATGGAAACAAAACGAATAATTAATATATATAGTATTTGTGTGAATAAACTGTGAATAAACTTGGTAATGTGTCGTTTATTGAAATAAACAAAACTAAGTACAAATGTTAAATGATTAAACATTGCTTGAATCTTCATATAAAAATCATTGTCTACAGTAGATTAAGCTAACTCAGATCAAATGTAATTTAATAAGACAACGATCAATAAAACGTAAGAAAAAATACAATTCAAATGAAATAAAATTTAACAAGAAAAATTATTCTGAAAATCATTAGAGGTAGGAGAATGGAATTTATCAAATTTAAGTTTTAATAATTGAATAACATTCATTTATTGCTGGGAAACATTTCACTTAATAACGGCTAAAAATTGGAAAATTTGGTGACCTACCTAAAAGACTGGAAGATGAGATGAAAAGCAGGGCAATGAATAAGCACAGCAATTGATTAAAAGCAGCACAGGAACTTTAACATACTTTTAACTCAATGATTTTGAAAGGTAATTTATTGTAGTATGCTACGTTAAGAAGAAAATCTATACAAATGATTAGCGGTAAATCGGAGATTTTGAAATCAACAGTGGTTGAATCAACAGTCTCTTAGCAGGAGAAAAAGGGGAGAGAAATTCACTTAATCTGATCCAAAAATAGATCAAACATTCTGCCAAGAGGGCACTATCTGTAAACCATTACCTAGATAGGCCTATCTCTAACTAGAATAAAATTACTCTCTTCCTATATTCTTTCACAGACATCTAAACAGTCATTGATAGGCAGAATATGCACATAATTCACTTTTAATACATGAAAACAACAAAAAAATTTTAATTTACCTATAAACTCCTTCAACAATAATTAACATTTTCCTCCAAGGCCTGTGAGAATGAGGCTGGCCTTCGATTATAGCTTCTTTTACTTTTTCTTCTAAATCTTTCATATCTATATATTAAACATAACATTAAATTCAATACAAAATTAATATAAATTAGCACTTTCCATGAACAATATAAGCACTACAACTGATTCACCAAACAACAGTGTTAAAGAGGTTATATAATATATATATTTTAAATTATGCAACATAATAAGAAAACACAAATCAAGAAAACTACAATACAGTAACCCTTTCCAAGTTATTAAAGGTGTTCCATAAACCTTTACATAACTTTAATTAGATACAAGTCAAATTGGTAAATTGTTTGTAAGAAAATGCAATATTAATTACAGTCAAAAGTCGTTAATTCGGACACTCATAATCCGGACCAAAGCTACAAACTTTCTGCGCATGCGTCGCGATGATCTTTATAACTGCAAACAAGCTTACGGTAAGACCTTTACGGCTGCAAATATGCTTGTGCGCGTGCGCAAAATACGTTTACGACTGCGCGTTTAATGTATAACGGAGGGTATAAGCTAAGCTAAAATTATCTAATTATCTATTTCAGTTAATGTTGCAGATTGTGTTGTTCCTTAATCTTCGAATTAATCCGGCTTATTATTTTTTGCAGACTGTTAGAGCAATTTTATAAAAGTAAGCTTGAACTTTCGATTATGTCAAATAGAATTTCTGATATATATTTATTAATATGTACAGGATCTACAAAGCGAAAGTATGTTTCAAAGTTCATTAAACAATAAGTGGAATTGCTGCAAAAAATGGATACAGGCATATCCTTTGTTTATCTAAACTTTAACATTTGTTTATCTAAACTTTATCTAAACTTTGTTTATCTTTAACGCTGTGGTGCGGTGCGCAATGAATTAGAAGTTGATCTGTCAGCACTATCCTTATCTTCAGGGCAGATGTTTTTATTTTATTTGGCTTATAATTCCTTACTAAATGTAGTATTTCATCTCGATGTATTCCATCTTTGATATGATTTAAATCAAATTCCTCGTCATTATAATTCGCTTCCGATAGCGAAGAAAGTGACAGAGGTTATTGAAAACGAAAAAATTTCGATTGACAGATTAGTCGGTAGACACAGCAATTATAGGACTTGAACAGCGGAACTTTGTAACTGAACAAGAAATTATGTCTGTTTATAGAATTAAAGAGAATGTATTATCACATAAAAAACGAAGCAACTTAAACAACTTACATTGAAAGAAATGTTTAATAAAGTAAACAAATAAATATTAAGCTTTTTTTTGTAAATTTTGATACCCTTTAGATCATAATTGTTCTTTATTTCATAAATTACGGTTTCATATTTTTAATTTTATAATTTCTGCATGCCATCTTAGCAGATTTAAACTGATGATCTATAATCCAGAATCGCCGAAGTCCCGACGAGTCCGGATTAACAACTTTTGACTGTATTACTATAGCTATGAACACTGCAAGAAAAAAGGGGTTGAAGCTTATCTCCTGTTCTATTGGGCCAATTGATGAAATTCAACTTGCGACTTTCGTGCCTCGAAAGCGTGACTTAGGATGTGTATTAGATTCATATATAGCATTGTTCTAATATAAATATTCTGACACAAAATCGGACTTTTTCTAAAATGGCATGTCATTTTTTTCCCCATATTTAGATTCTACGATTCAAATTATGCCAAACTGCCAAGTTTTGTAAAAATCGCAAGAATAGTTTTTAAAAAATTAGTTCCTCAATATTAGTTGCATTTGGTATACATTTATTATTCTTTTTTTTTTTATTAAACTTACTTGAGTCTTCCTTTCACATTCTCCAAAATTTAGATACATTCCAACTAAAACTCGCCCATTTTTTATGATTTATTTTTAAAATTTGTATTTTAAAATAATTTTTAGAAGTTTTTTTAAAACAAATTTGAATTATAATCTGCAAATGTTTTACCATCATCTTAAAGTAGATGTATTTTTAGGCTCACCTACAAAAAATAAGAGCTTTTTATTTAAAATTTTCTAAGATATACATGAATGTCCATATTGGCATCCTTTTTCCTTTTTTAGCGACAATAATGCCAAATGTGGTTTACGAACTTTGTTAAAATTATTTGAAATAATGAACAATGACTTTTTTCTGCTCGTTTACAATGAAAAAAAAAAAAAAAAAAAAAAAGTTGCTATTAATTAAGAATATCGCCAAGTAAATTATTCTTCCCGTAAACTGAAAAAAATAAGCGAAGATAAATTTCTAATTTCTCCATAAATTTTGCAACAAATTTTACAAAATTTAATAATTTCAGTCGTAGAATCAAAATAGGGAAAAAAATTATCATGTCATTTTAAAAAAAGTCTAATTTTGTGTCAAAGTACCTACAATAGAATAGTGCTACATATAAATCTGATACAATCCTAAGTCGCGCTTTCGAGACATGAAAAACGCAAAAAAGTTAAATTTCGTCAATCGGCCCAGCAGAACGGGAGATATCGAACAGTCCATTTCTTTTTTGCACAGTGTACATATTATATGTATATTACTTACTAACAGAATAGTTTTGAAGATTGTTACACCCCAAGCAGTACCTTAATACATTCTGTGTTCCCCTTGTGGATACAAAATACACATTTCTATGAATGCACCTCATCAGATAACGAATAATAAAGCAAATTTATGCTAAATATTGATCATATGCTTAACCAGGCTTTCAATCTTACACTTTTATATACAAGTTGATATTAAATATTAGGTAAATCAGTAAGTTCTGCTGTTTTTATAGTGCTTGGCAAAATACAGAAATGTTCTTTTTGTCACTGTCTTTAAGGTCCAATTTAAGATCAAAGTTGACTACTTTTCATGGTCCTTATCCACTTAATTTTAGCCTTTAATTATTTTTATGGTATTTAATATTATATTTTTATGGTATTAATTATAGTACATTAATGAGGTGCCTCATGTCTTTTCATAGATGCAATTAAATATCATATTGATTCTGTTTTAAATATTCTTATCACAGTATTGGCACTCAAACAGGAAAATGAAATTCCCTGACTTCCAGGTTTTCCAGGTGTGTTTTAAGAAAATTCCAGTCTATCCGCGTAATGCACATTGACTGTGCTAAGAGGTAAATTAATTATGGTACCACTTAAAAGCACAAAAATTTGCCAATTACATATGACTTATACCTGCATATATAATATATAATACCCAAAGCATTACTGTTATAACTACGAGTATAATAGGAGTTGTTTTCTCCACTAAAGATTGAGATTAGAATCTGCCCAATCTGGATTTTAAAAAATGTCTTTTTTTGCAGACATTTTGCAGCTAAACGAAAGAAAAATCTATTTAATGATATTTTTAAATAAATTCAGGTATTTTATATTAATTTAGTAGCATGCATAAGCAAAAAATATGTGCATTAAATTTCGTGATGGTATGGCATCATACTGCTAGAATTAATTTCAGGATTATGCAGAGAAACATTTTCTGAAATTTGAAAGTATTATTTACTAATAAATAAATTTAGAGAGAAGAAGCAACATAAATGATATAAATAACATTAAAATAAAGAAAATTATTTAAAAATTGAATTAGAATAATCAACGATATTTTGGCGAATATAATTACATTAAATGGTTAGACTAGGTGACTGACTATTTTTTTATTTTACTGCAAAATGACAAATAGGGCATTTATTAAAAAAGGGGGGTTAAAAAGATTTTGCGGTAAAATCCTTGGATATGCTACGGCCTTGGCACGATTTTGAAAATTGTCGCCAACACCAAAATTACCCGTTTACTGCTCATCATAATATCCCCAAATCCCGTGTATACGGTACATGGAGGCTATTCTAACATCCATGCTACTCTATACTGGGTTTAAACCAATTTTATTTTATACGAGAATACGCATTTTCTTTAGTTCAACATGCACTGCATATGCGCGTAGAAATCTCTCGATACTTGAGGTTGCTGGAAACTTCCTCTGCCTTTCTCTCAACACAATCTGATTGGAGCTGCGAAAATTGCCTCTATGCCAGCGGGCCGAATGATGCTCACGCGATACATATTTCGCCAAGAAAGTAATCGCTTCCAACATTGGCGCAAAACCCGCTTTTTTGGGAGGAATAGCCGTATGAAATTCACGAATTTTCCAGATTTTTACCAAAATATTTAAATTCCCTGACTTTTTCCCGAATTTTTTGGTCAATTTTCGAATTTCATGACATTTTCCGGTTTTCCCAGTTTTCCAGGTAACATGGCAACCCTGCTAACATTAATTGAATCTCACTAACTGCAGTATACTCATATATGGCTCTCCATGAAGGTACATATTTTCCCTCTTTTTCTTCTCTGAGTGTTTAAATCTTTTATTTAACATATTTTCATATCACATCTATCCTTATCCAAATAAAACACACAGTAGTAATTAAGCAGAAATATGTATGTTGAAACACTTGACGAATGATTCACATCCCTTGCATGCACATTACCTTGAAACTAAAACTTTGGAATGGACGATTAAAGATGAAACTGATAATTGCTCCTCTGTGTGTTATACATTAGTTAGCAATTTTAGTGAATTAAAATTGTGCTATTATTCTAGAAATGACTTTGATGAGTAGATTGTCTTCAGTTAATAAATATCTAGTTGAATCATGGTCTGTTTTGAATTAGAAAAAAGAAGATCCGAGATGGTGAGATTTCTTGCCTTTATTATCTTGAAATCGAAAGACAGCAAGTGATACTTCCTCTTTTTTTTTTTTTTTCTTGAACAATGTATATACATGAATAGAAATAAAAGTTATATTTATATAATAAACCCATTTTGAATTCTTGTGAAGTATGTATTGCTGCTAAGGAGTGATTTAGATTGAGGCAAATGTTTAAATACAGCCTTTTCTGTTTGTGGGCATAATTCTAGTGCGTGTTGTGGCATAGTTTTCGCTTTAGTGCACTGCTATGCATGAAGAACCTAAAAGTTCATTTTTGTCATTCTGTACTTTTATTTTAAAGGGGGCGGGGAGCTAATCAGACTACTCGTAAAATTTGCATTGTATATGGACAAATTACTGTTTATGATGCACAGGTCAAATGCGGTTTGAAAAGTGCAGAAATTTCAGCATGGAAAATGAGGCCCACTATGGAAGACCATGCTCTGTAAACAAGGTCCCATTAAAAGAAGCTATTATTGAAAATCCACCTTATACAGTTCTGAAACTATTAGACTGGTTAAACATTCCAAAAAGCACAGTATACAGTCAATGGAAGAAGAATGGACATTTAAGGTGCTGTGATGCATAACTCCGTACTTCAATGTAGCAGAATATACTTGGCAGAGTTTCAGAAAGTAATTTTGGCAGAAAGAAAAAAAGAAACTTTTTTTTTTTTTTTAAACAGGAGATTAGCAGTGGATATTATGCAGTAATGTTATTAAAAAAACTTAATAGAGTAGGCCTAAAAAGAACCTCCTTTAATCACATCAAGAGGGAGTAACATCCCAAAAAAGAATGCTTTGTGTATGATGGCAATACAAAGGTGTATGTGAGGTTATGGCAAAGCCTCGAGGGCTATCTGCCTAAAGGAAGGGATGCCTTCGTGGAGGACTTTCTAAGGGAAACTGGCTCATATACACGTTACACATGGGGAAAACCATGAAAACACCCATGCAGCCAGCCTGTTCACGGGATTCGAACCTTGGACCGAACTACCAGTGTTTAGCGCCTTTACCGCTCGGCCGCTGGTGGGCTCGCAATACAAAGGATTTATATAATATAAATCATTGCCACCAAATTAGACAGCAAATTTGGAAAACAATTTTACCAAATAGAAGTTTTTAAAGCAGAAACTGAAGCAAAGTGCCAGAACAGACCAGTCGTTGAGGGTCGTTTTCCATCAAGACAATGAAAAAATCCTTACAGTTAGATTCGTGTCCATCCAGCATATTTCGTGACTAGGTCGTTCTGAATGACACATGCATGTTTGTACTCATGACTGTGGCTGCTGTGGTAAACTATATCTACTCAAGGGAAGAGATACCTTTGTGGAGGACTTTCTACGGGAAACTAGCTCATATACATGTTACACATGTGGAAAACCAGAAAAATGACCATGCAGCCAGCTACTTTGTTGGGATTCGAACCCTGAACCGAATTACTAGAGTTCGGCAACTTTACACTTGGCGACTGGTGGCTCCAAGATTTAAAATACATAAGAAGTAAAAACGAAAAAAGGGGAAAACACGAGTAAAAGCAATATAACATTTTGAGCAGTATTTTGTTGAGTACTGTATTCATAAACTAAACCTACTAGGAGAAAAGCTTTGTTGAATTGTATTATTCAATTAATTGATATTAAGGCAATTTTTACAATTCTTTACAAACTGAAATAGCAGCACTTCCTGTTATGCTTGTAAACAGCAATTTTAGCCCAGAGGGTCAACATCCTAAAACTAAAGATGCACATATGCAATACAGTACAAAGTCCGAAATCCGGACTTGTCGAGACTTCGGCGATTCCGGATATTAGATCATCAGTTTAAATCTAGTAAGATGGCATGTCGAAATTATAAAATTAAGATTATGAAATAATGACGTATTTATGATTTAAAGGGTATCAAAATTTACAAAAAAAGGCTTAATATTAATTTTTTTACCTTATTAAACATTTCTTTCAATGTAAGTTGTTCAATTTGCTTCGTTTTTTGTGATAATACTTTCTCTTTAATTCTGTAGACAGACATTCTCTTGTTTAGTTACACTGTAACTGCTGTTTTGAGAATTCCGACTAACTTGTCAATTGAAATTTTCTCGTTTTCAGTAACTTTTCTGTCACTTTCTTAATTATCGGTAGCAGTATTTTCTCGATCTAGAACCATACTACAGATTTCGGCATTCATAAATTGGTTGAAAATTGAGAAGCATCATCATCACAATGAAAAACTTCTTTTATATCATCTTTATTTAGTACCACTTCTCCAAATTTCTTTACAAAATCCGTTAATTGGAAAATTTCACCTTTGTTTTGCAATATCCGAAAACCTTTAAAATTAGCAGCTATCATCATCAAATTTAGCTGTCCTTCACTATACATATTTGGCTATGCATCATGAGCTTGGCGACTAACGACACGTTGTTCTATTAAATTTTGTCTTGCTTCTATCGCGCACTTAAACAATTAAGCCTGAATTGTATTAGTTTTGTTATTTATTATACTTATGTCTATTTCTTGCACATGCTCATCAGAGTTCTCAATAAATCAATTCCCACATATACTTAATCCTTATTGAGGGCCAGAGCTAGATATCTTCCGCCTGATGCGGTCTGTCTCTGTGGGTCTTAAATTCTGTGACTCGGTGTGGCCATACGAGCCCTGGTGCTGGTTCTGGGTTTATATGAATAACAAATCAGTTATTCTTAATTCAAATAGCCCTAAATGTAATCTTTGGGTTTATGAGTATCATCAACAAAATCTATTTTTCGCATATGGAAAGAAATTTTTGTTACATTTTTCCTCGTCAACATATTTTAGCGCATTTAACTTAAATCTGTAATCATCGCCAAGTGTAATAACAACGTAAAAGGTTACCATACTCCTGTATTATTCAATTACTAACATTAAAAAAAAAAAAAAAAAAAATGTTTAGGCATTGCTACGTGAGTCATTACTCAAGTTGTCATGTTTTTATAAACATGCAGTGATGAAAGGAAAGCATAATAAAAAGAAGGATTTGCCAGGTTGGCATCAGATCAACGATGTATCTATGTGGAATGTTTCACTTTGAGATGGGTGCCAGGCAGATACGCAGCAACGGAGCCAAATTACTCATCATACAAATTTATACTAAAATGATTGTTTCTTCAATAACAAGTGAAACAAATTAACAATCGGGAGTCTAGATAATTTATTATGCACGGAATGGGGAATTAAATGTGCATGTGTAAAGCCTACCAGAAACACATTGGTGGTTGTCAGGTCTGGATTTTAGATCATTCCAGATAATGGACATCCGGATTTTGGACTTTGTACTGTATAACAATTTGAGCAGTATTTGTACTATATAACGATTCAAGCAGAATATGAAATTACTTTTTATAAAATAATAAAGTATTTATGATATAAAGGGTATCAAAATTTACAAAAAAAGGCTTAATATTTATTTGTTTACCTTATTAGTTACATGGTCTAATAATATTATATTACAATACAACTGAGTACTGTGTTCATAAACTAAACTTACTAGAAGAAAAGCTTTGTTAAATTGATATTAATTAGAGCATTTTTTACAATTGTTTAGAAAATGAAATAGCAACACTTACTGTTATGCTTGTAAACAACAATTTTAGCCCCAGAGAGTCGACATCCTAAAACTAAAGATGCGTGATTAAGTTCATCACTGAAAATGAGACATCCTTTTGACATTAGAGTTGGAATGTTGGTTGAATTTGTCGCAAATCCCATTCCCACGATGATGCTGTCTTCGACGCCCAAGAATTCAGCAACCATTGTTTCAAGCTTTCTGTGAATATCCAAGTGCCCTAGACAAGTAAATAATAAAAAAGTAAATTCCTAGTCTACAATATGCGATGCCAACAGAAACTTAAATACATTTATTATAATCAACAACTGCAATATTAAATATATTAAATAAAAATCATAGCTGCCAACATTAGAATCTTAAAAACTGGGAAACAATTTCAACGAAAAGTGGTGGGTTTTTATGCTGCACAGCAACACCATTTGAAAGGAACCTCACCATCCTATAAAACTCAAAATATTTTGAGTTTTCATTCATCACTTCACCATCCTGCAAAGCTAAAATATTTTGTACCTTTTTTCTCCTCCAAAGATAAACTTTTGGTGTCTGAAACTGGCCTCAGTGAGAGAAATATTTCATTCCCCCATTCACCAGATGTGAACAGCCATTTAGTTTTTCAGTTCAAATCAACTTGAACCACACACTTGTCCCACTCAAGGATGCTTACGAGAATCATAACACAAAGGCTGGTGTATCTCTTAGGGGAGATATTTTTCTACCTAACACAAGCTGCATTTGCCACTGGAAATTGTTTTTTATCAGCAAGCATAGATATTAATGTAAATTAATGGAAAGACATGTATTTTTTAATATATCAATAATTTTTAAGTATAATAATATCATGGATCATTTTTTAAATAATAAACTATATTTGCATGAAAAATACCTAAATTAAAAATAGTGTCTTACATTATACATATATATATATCAGGCAAAAAATTTCATGATAAAACATAGCTGTAAATTAGATGTAAAAAATTCCAACTAACCTTATGCATTTTAGATTTTTCCATTTGCATCTCATAGTAAAAAGAGTAAAATCTATTGCAATTTATTACAATGTAAATACAATTTTTAATTACCGTAATTTCCAGAAGAAAGGCTGCATCAGCGTAAATGCCGCACTCGAGAAAAATGGTGGGAAAAAAATTAAAATTACACAGAAATGCCGAAATAGATTAAATTGCGCGTGACATCGTTCTGGGCCGTATAGATGCAAAATCTCAACTTATGTCCTGATACATAACATATCAGTTAAGAAAAATGCATGAAATGAAACCATAACTTAAAAATAAATTAAAGGTAAGAAATGTTGAAAATATAGTTACATTCACGAATATACTTACATTTACCCACTAAAGAAGTCCACATTTGTAACACTCGGACTATATCATAAAAAATTTTGCAACAACGAAATATTATATTTGGATGACAAAATGAAATTTTAAATTTTACTTACAAAAGGAATTACAGCAAACTATACATCATATGAAACCATCAAAATCTGATTCTTCACTATCTGAATTAAAAAGATTTAGTAAATCCCGATCTAAGTCTTCCAGATTGTCACATTCATCCTCTTGGTTTACAGTCTCTTTATCTAAGGATATAATTTCAGTTTTTTTGAAGCCTGCTATTATTGATGATGTTTTTACCGATTTCCACGCACTTCCTACCCGCTTTGCAACTTCTTCATAAGATGCTCTATGCATTTTACCGCTTTTGGTACACATATGCAATCCTTCACTCATCCAACACTCCCACCGCTTTTGGACTTCAGCTTTGAAGGATTTATTACCTGACAAATCTAATGGTTGTAAGATTTTTGTCAAACCACCAGGAATTATTGCTACGGTCGTAGACAATTTTTGACATCTGTTTTTCACCGACTCAAGTAAATGAGCATACATGGAATCCATTATCAATAACCCTTTTGGTTGGAAAAAAGATCCCTTACGGCACTGCCAAACTTTCTGTAGCCACTCATGCATGATTGTTTTGCACATACAGCCGTTTCCTTTTGCACAAATAATTACGTCTTTAGGAAAATCTCCCTTCAGAATAGTTTTTCGTTTAAAAATGATCATCAGCTTAAGCTTGTCACCGTTTGCGGCACAAGTTAACATACATGTAAATGACGTTCTTTCATGCCCTCTCGTAAGCACAGATACAGTTTTTGCACCAGTTTCATCAACAGTTCTGTTTGCAGGAGAGTCGAAAGCTAACGGCGTTTCATCCATATTTATTATCTGTGACCGAAGAAGTTTTTTTTTTGTCAATAATATCTGTCACATATTTTAGAAAAGATGCCTTTTTATCCTGCCAGTCCATTGCCCAACTGTTGTTCTAGTATGCACAGAAATATTTTTTCTTTTCATAAATCTGCTACACCAGCAAGGCCCTCCTTAGAAATCATTTATGTTCAGTTGTTTTGCTATAAATTTTGCTTGTAAGCGAATTTTTACAGTCGAAATTGCCATTCCCTTTCCTTGTTTCTCCTTTATCCAGTTTGCAAGGTCGTCCTCTAGATTCGACCACCTTACAGTACCACTTCTTTTGGTTCGTTTCTGTTGTGGCATATTTTAAAGTTATTTTTCAGTTCTCCAACGTTGAATACATCTCTCGTCCACTTCAAACTCTCGAGCTGCTGCTCCATTTCCAATTTGTTCAGAACTTGAAATTACATTAAGCTTAAAACCAGCAGAATAGCTTCTGCGACGTTTAGGTGCCATTTTAAAAAATTTTCCGTTCTCTTCTTACTTAAAAACTATCCAACAAGTATTTGTACCCAAACTAATGGGATCTGTATCTGGCAGAATGTCAAGAAAAATCGATTCATACTGAAGGGGAAATATGTCAGAGTTTGTTATTGCGAGGCAAGTGGAGTCGTGTCCGCCTTTGAAAAAAATTGCAGAAAAGGCAGGAGTGGGGAGAGGATGGGTCCTGGAAGATTCATCGAATGGCAGAGAACTATTCAAAATGATGAGAATGCTGATTTGAAAGGGGGAAGAATGTTATTGTTCTGAGATCCCATTTAGGGTGAATAAGGCATGTAGGTCCATTCAAGGGAAAGAATGTAAACAAAATAATGTTCGCAAAAAGCAACTGAGTGGTCTTTTGTGTGGGAACAGCACCAGGTTATATACAATGACAAGGCCATCCAAACTATGTACAATGACAAAGTTATTCAAACTATGCAATATAACCATCATAGGAAATATTTTATTTTTAGTGCACCTAAACGCCGCACCCGGCGTTTCTTCCAGAAATTATGGTATCAAATGAAAGCTATGTTTATTAAAGTAAAAAATAAGTACATTAGCTAAAATGCTAGCATTGCTTATTTGAAATAACATTGAGAAGTGCTTTGATGTTACATGTTCTGTGCATAGTTTTTAAGTAAGAAAGAAGTGGAAATATTTTTTTAAATGGCCCCTAAACGGCACAGAAGCTATACTGCTGGTTTTAAGCTTAATGTAATTTCACATGCTGAACAAATTGGAAAATGAGCAGCAGCTCAAGAGTTTGAAGTGGACGAGAGATGTATTCGACGTTGGAAAACTGAAAAAGAACTTAAAAATATGCCACAACAGAAATGAGCCAAAGCTATGATACGTGATTTTGGAAATGAATAGACAATGCCCATTTAGCATGAAATATATGCTATCCCTTTACTATCAAATTAAATAAAAGAACACTATCAAATTAAATAAAAGAACAATCTGTTCATTTAAACTTCTGCTTGAATGAGGTTGGAGTAGGCTCCACCGACTTTCATGTTCGGCAGCATTTCAGAATCGAATGGGGCCTACAAAATGCATTGGCTTTTAGGAGACTGAAATGTGTTCCCCTTGAAATCTTAATGCTTTTAATATTCAAGTTGATAACAAATAATATAACTGTATTTATAATCTTAGAGAAGAAATTTTTCCACGCTTTGCTAACGTGAATTCTGTTTCTTATACACTCAACTATTCAGAATTTTCACACATCCAGAGCTTTCCAGATAGTCAAGCTTTTACTGTGCGTCTTTAATGTTAATGATGTAGATGTCTCCAAAAAAGACAATGCTACTTCCTCTGTCTAGATGCTAAAAAGGCTACAAACAATAAAACAATTCTCTTCTAGAATTAAGAATCTCCTGTACGAATTCTTTACCCCCTTACTACATTAGAAAAGGGGAAAAGAAAAAAATATTATTACACTTTCTTTACTATTCACTATACTATTTGGGATGTAAATTGATGACAGTATCCTGGTATATTTATCTATACAAATTGTTAATACTTAGAGTTGTAAAAGTTCAAAACTTTTGGTTCATTCATAAAGTTTACGCCAGCTGTTAACACACAAATTTATTAACTCAGTATTTGAAAACAATGGAAAATATCAAAATGCTTAATTTTTCTTTGTAATGAACCTATTGATGACAATGACTTGTAAAGCAATTTTAAAATGGAATCCCAAGTTTCAACCTTTTATTTCGAGAAAGTATAATTTATGTATTTAAAATTGTGAATTTTAAGATTCCAATAATACAATCAATAGAATGTTATATGCTTTTATTTTTGTGATTTGCATTTTGCAAAACTGTTTTGATGTTAGTTTTAAGATATTATGAGATGAAAGAGTTTTCAAGCATAAGTTGTCAACTTTACCTATTGTTTACTTTAGTTATTATTCCTAGCATTATCAAATATGATTTTGAGAGGTGGAGAGGAAAAAATGGTAAAAAGAGAACAAAATGTACAAGGCATGGATGCACTCAACTGATAAATATTTACAAGTAATGTTTCCAAAAATAACAATGATTGAAAACAACCTGAGTGAGCTCATTGAGCAGTTAAACATTTTTAGTTCTCTTCATTCGCTTGACAATTTAACATGAATAGTGCACAGTCAAAATTTTTAGTTCTCTTCATTCGCTTGACAATTTAACATGAATAGTGCACAGTCAAAATGTTTAGTTCTCTCCATGTGATCAACGAGTTAACATGAATATTAATACATCAAAAACAAGTAATATAAAAAAAAAGTTAAAGTCAATTCCTACTTAGGTCAACAAAGAAAAATTTTTAATTTAGTTACTTTTTATTAACATTTTTTTGTTTCTAATTCATAAAGCTGATGGTGGTTCATAATTTCTTATTCTATCCATCACTTGTAATGCTTCATTATTGCAAAGAACCTTTCCAGTGAATTTTGAGCAATCCAGTTCTTCAATTAATATTCCATCTAATGATTTCACACAACTCAAGGCAACATATGCTTGACCTGCGACGAAGAGTTTTCGTCCTACATATATTACTGCATAATGTACAGTGCTTTGCAACTTACTTTGCGAAGTAATGGGACATTAAATCCGCTTCATCCAACGCTATAAAACTACAATTCTTTAATTCCATACACTTTAAAAATCTTTGTGTCTTACTGTTGCCACTTATTTTTGTTAAATATTACAATGCCATTTATCACAGTGATGCACTATTATTTATTAGTTGTTATAAAATTAATTTTTACAGCACGCGAGAATTCCTAATAAACGGTCATTATTTGCAAGCCTTATAATATATTTAATAAAAACAGCATATCTTCAAGTTCCGATAAACAGGAACAAATCAGTAGGAATTGAATATGTGAAAAAACTGCATTAACATCAAGTGTCATCCATTATAAATTTAAGAAAATGTATTTGAACTTGAGTGGATGAATAATAATTATTTTACTGAAGACTGAAAATTTGAACAAGATATAGGAAGAGTGCGAGCTAATAGTGAGAATTTAATAAAAAATAATCAAGCTGGATCATTTGGGATTAAAAACAAGAGCTGAACATTGGATAGGTTAGAGTTACTCTCACTGGTTGCTTTAAAGCATTATTCAGTACACTGGAGAATCCGAGGCTTAGTAGCTTATACCTAAGTAGTGTTAGATTTCAGACAAAATGCTTTACCTAATTCATGCCTGGTACTGCAGATACCTGTTCCATATTTGAGTATTACTTGTTCCACACTGTCGGCACATTTTCCAGAATTTTCGGCAAATCCCAGATAATTGTAAGATCCTAAATTTATAGCTTCCAGGTTTTTTTCAGTGCCAAACCTAAAATGTAATACACCTACATGATTAGAAGTAAAAAACAATTGGAACGATGAAATAAAAACTTTAAAAAATGTATTCGGTTTTTTTCTCTTCTTAAAAAAATTAAAGTCCAACTTTTTTTTTTAATTTACGTCGTTAAATTACAGGATACTTAATCACAGCAAAACAAAGTACATTGAAGTAGCCACCGTTAATGAGGAAGTATCAGCAAATAATATAATACTAATTAAATGAAAGTATTTTACACAGCTTGGTTACATTTAATAGGTATCTTTCTTTTAAATGTATGTTCTGCAAAATAAACTGAATAGCACTTATGCTTATGCTGATATCCTATCAACTGTGAACAGATAACAGTGATATAACAACACATATTAACATTTGCCTTTTGGTTTGATGTAACTCAAGTTAATTCTCAGTAAGCTATGTATCGTTTTTTACGATTAAGACTATAAATTAACTGTTACTGCTACACTTTTTATTGCATTTTCAAGAAAAATTATTAAAATTTGTGGCTTGCCTTCTATAAAACAGGAAACCATGGAAAGTTAATCCTACTACAAGTTAATCCTACTATCAAAAATGTTTGTTTTAATGGGCATGATATGGTCTGCTGAATGAATAACAATATTTTTCGAAGAATTTTTATGTTTACAATACTATGTATAGTTAGAACATAATTGTGACAGATGGTGCCATTCATACTTATGTTATTATACACAACGATAGATAACATAGCAATACTTTTATATATACACTGATAAGCCAAAACATTATGAGCATCCCAACATTTTTCAATGAACTTGTTCGGACAACAAAGAGAGTATGTGATTAAGTGGGAATGGTATTTTACTGCTGCTGGAAAAGACAAGGAATCATTCTTGCACTTTTGCGAGTGATGGGAAAGGCTGCCGATCTAAACAAATTTAATAAAGGACAGATTGTAATGACCCAAAGACTCGGAATGAGTATCTCTGAAACTGCATGATTGGTAGGTTGTTCAGGATCTGCCGCTATTAGCATTTATGCGTAGTGGAGAAATGACTGAAAACAGCAGTAGATGCCAAGGTGCTGGATGCCCACATGCCATCAAAGAAAAAGGACATCGGACACTCTCCCACTTGGTACAGCAAGATCAGCCCCAGACAGTGGCTCAGCTGACAGCCCAATACAATGCAGGTCCAATTACATTGTGTTGGAACACACAGTTCAGTGAACATTGTTGGATATGGGACTGCACAGCAGACATCCCACTCATGAGCCTCTGTTGACCAACTATTATTGTCAACTATGCCTACAGTGAGCTCAGGAACATTGAGACTGGACCTTGTATAAGTGGAAGACAGTTGCCTGTTTGGATGAATCATGATTTCTCATTCATCACATTGATGGTCAAGTCAGGATATGCAGTCTTCTAGGCAAACAGTTGCTCCCCTTATACAGCAGGGCATAAACAGGCTGGTGGTAGCAGTATTATGCTTTGGGCCGGACTGTTCTCATGGGCATCTCTGGGACCCTTATTTGTAGTAGAACAGACTATGAAAGCTGCGAACTATAACTGCAGATCAGTTGCAGCCTTACATGGCATCTGCCTTCCCAACTGGAAACAGAATCTTCTAGCAGCACAATGCCCTGTGTCACAAGGTTTGGACTGAAATGGTTCGAGGAGCATAAAGATGAAATCCAATTAATGTCCTGGGTGCTTACCTCACCAGATCTTAACCTCATAGAGCCCATTTGGGATGCCATGGCTCACAGCTCAAATAACACCATGTCGGAATGTCTCGACTTTGCATAGCCGCTGCTCAGACATTTGGTACAACCTGTCTCCAGTCATCTACCAAGAACTCGTGGCATCCATCCCAAGTCAAGTTCCACCTGTTTTCTACACTGAAGGTCACACAATGCATTATTGAGTAGGTGAGGTGATCATAATGTTTTGGCTCACCAGTGTGCAATATGATTATATACACACATGCAGATAGCATTTTGTATGTGAATTATTTTCCAGAAATTTTTTTTATTTATTTATTGGTTGGCTGCAAATAAGTGCTGTATTCTCTTGTCTTTTTGCCCTTCAATCTTTTTGTAAAGTAGGTCGATTCGTTAGGTTTCATTAGGTTCATAGGTTTCCGATTTAAATTTTTAAAAATTCCAATGTGTTCATCATTTGCTTATCTTGTATTGCACAATTCTTCTCCTCTTGATTGGCTTGACAGCTGAGGCAGCTTTGCTTTTGACAGCTATTTTCCAGTTTTTGACCTTTAGAATGTTTAGGTCATTTTCAACATATCTGATCCATCTCAGAGAGGATCTGCTTTGAGGTCGGATCCCCTTGAGCTTTGATAGAAATATTTTCTTACAACACCAATCTTCCATGTATTTTAGAGCAGAAGCCAGAAATTTTGTATAACTTGATGTTAGATCTTCTTCTCCATAATCTATTCACATGAACCCCACTAAATGTGCAATGCAAAATCATTCTCTCAAATATCCCCCAAAGCTTCCTCCTCACATAAAGTCAGCGCCCAAGCTTCCAATGTGCGAGTCGGGACAGTCTTCTCCTAATGAGGAATATGATTAAAATTTCTATTTTTCTTCCAAGCTGTTTGAATTTTAATGCTATTTGTAAATGTTGATTGGTTGCAATGTTGGTATCTGGAACTTTTAAGCCGTAGTTTTCTGTTGTGATGTAATGGTTATGGTCACCCTTTCCCCACATAAAAATAGCTTGGAATGAGTTATGTTTCGTTTGTAAAAATAGGCTGAATATGTCCAATAAAACAATAACAGATTCAAATAATTACTTTCAGAAAAGTTGTATACATATCCTTCTAATCAGAGCTTCCGGTTAAATCGGAGGATCTAACAAAACAGAAGAAATAGAAAAAACCCTTTTAAGAAGTGAAAAAACAAAACAAAGTGGCTCCAAAACTACAATTACCAGGATCTTCACCAACTGTCACAGTGAAAGGGATAATTTGTAAGTACCAATACAGCTACTAACTCAGACTCTGCATATCTTTGCTAAATATGATTCATGTAAAACTTCACGCTTTTGATTATTTAACTTCGCTTTAAACTGATGTTACTGTGATGAAGAAAAATGAAATCTATTACAGAAAATAGTTTAACATAAGACAATTTTCAAGGACTGAAGTATTTTATGCAACAGTTACTTGGATTTCAAAAATCAATTTAATAAAAAATACATATTTGATACAAAATTTCCCCCAAAATATGTCATATTAAAAACAAACTTACTTGGCATTTTGATGAAAATCTGGTGAAATTTTAATTTTCAGTTTAAATATAACTCCAGGAACACCACACACAAACATATTCCATCCTTGGACAATTCTTTTATAAATGTTACGAGTGTAGAAACTTTCAAAACTTCTATACAATTTGACATAACCCTGAAATACAAATTTTCTTTAAAATAAAAGAAAACATTAAGATAATTTTTTTTATATAATATTAAGTGACTAAGACACAGTTTAACAACGATGAAAATTACTGATATTACAGATACATGAGTTATAAAGTTCCTGCTTGACTACCTGTAACATGGTCCAATAAGTATTCCATGGCATTGGATACTTACTCTGCAGAACATGGAGAATAAGCTTTTGCAAGGTTCAATAATAATCATTCCACTATAATAAATATTGTGCACATCTTTTTTTACAAAAAGTAATACTACGAATTATACATAAAATACTATTTATAAATTAAAATATTTTATAACTTTACAAAAATCATAACGATTTTTAGGGGGGGGGAATTCAGAAAAGTCAGCAGTATAAAGGGAATTTTAGGGAAAAAATTGACAGAAATCTGAATATTCTGAGAACACAATTAGGAAAACTGAAACTCGCTTATCATAAAAAATGCATAATCCTAAAAACATGTTTATTAATATACATTAACTTGTTTAATTTTGACAAACATGACATTCAAATATTATCATACACAAGTGATTACATATAAAGTGATTGGCTTAGCCATAAAAAATCTGAAATTGCACGCCTAACATATCAAGGTAATTATCATATGAAAAATTAAGTTATCAAATTTATTCAAATCTATAATAATATGCTTCATTATTCCAAATTCTTTGTTAATGTATATTATGCAGTTCGACCCCCCACCAAATAAAATCTTAGCTGGTTTTCTACCAAAACATTTAGGATTGTCCACAAAGACTGTTAATCATATGCCACAGGGTGAGGAGGTCACACGAGAGTCCGCTCTTCTGAGAAAAGAGGGAATTAACTATTGAAGGACAGAAAGTCCTCGTGTCATTGGGTGATCCTGTCATTAGTTATGTTTCATGCCCTTATTTCATATTCTCAAAAATAAACGTGAGGATTCGCACTGATGTGCAATGCTGGAATTCAAAAATATTAAGTTTTTCCCCATGTATTTTACATGAACGAAGCATATTTCATTCCTTTTAAAAATGCAATCCTTAAAAATAATAGAATTATATTTTTAGCAGAAATATTCTTTTTGTAGTTTAAAAAAGGGAAAAAGGTCAACAGGTTTCTACCCTATTTCAGCGGGATCTCTTCTGATTGAACTTGATTTAATGTGAAATTTGCCAATACAGTGATCTGCTATGCAAAAAGCTAATAACTAATTATTAAAAAAATTCTTTGGTACTTATGTATTAATGCAACCACCCTCACATCATCTAGCGATCTTTTGCAGATGAAAAAGTAGAAGTTAGGTGCAAGCTGGTAGTTTTCGTGGCCTTTTTTTAAGGGGGGGGGATTCCAAATTATCAATATTTATTGGAAGTCAGTAAACAATGTCAACATAGGACAAGAAAATATACCAATTTAAAATGCAAATTTAATTATTAAATAAATATTACATGATATATTAAAAAAACACTTATTTTAATAAAACTTCTTCAAATCTTCCCATAATTTTTTCAGTAATTTAACTGTTTTTTACCCAAAGTACACAGTAATCTGCTTTTGCTTAAAAAACATCAAGAGAACTGTTATGGCATGGCTTCATGTAAACCTCAGCAGAAGCATCTATCTAGAAAACATTGCCACATTGCCCTCTTTAGAAAATGTTTAGCAAAATTGTGTGCTCTGGCAGAAATTTTACTGCAGTTTCTTCCACTGCTGACAGATTCCACAAGCTCATATTTTAAAACAAAACTTTAGGTAAAAAATATCAGAGTTTGTTTAAAAGAATTGTTGGAACTTTGAATACAACAAAAAATAATGCACACAAAAATGGCAGCATTACTTAACTGAAAGATTCCTGTGAGGACGGTTGCTGCAAGTATGTTTATGCACGATAGTCAGATTTTGGCGCATTCTGAAAATTTGACGACATCTACTAAGGTGGTTACATTAATACGTTAAGTACACTTTTTTTTTTTTTTCAGTATATATTAATGTACCTACATTTTAGTTCAAACATAAAATATCTATACAGTCAAAAGTCATTAATCCGGACTCCTCGGGACTTCGGCGATTCCGGATTGTAGATCATCAGTTTAAATCTGGTAAGATGGCATGCAGAAATTATAAAATTTAAAATATGAAACTGTAATTTATGAAATAAAGAACAATTATGATCTATAGGGTATCAAAATTTCAAAAAAAAAAAAAAAAAAAAAAAAAAAAAAAAGGAAGCTTAATATTTATTTGTTTACTTTATTTAACACTTCTTTCAATGTAAGTTGTTTAAGTTGCTTCATTTTATGTGATAATACTTTCTCTTTAATTCTATAAACAGACATAATTTCTTGTTCAGTTACAAAGTTCCGCTGCTCAAGTCCTATAATTGCTGAGTCGAGAATACCGACTAATTTGTCAATCCAAATTTTTTCGTTTTCAATAACCTCTGTGTCACTTTCTTCATTATCAGAAACAAATTATAATGACAAGGAATTTGACTTAAATCATATCAAAGACGGAATACATCGAGATGAAATACTACATTTAGTAAGGAATTATAAGCCAAATAAAATGAAAACATCTGCCCTGAAGTGCTGACAAATCAACTTCCAATTCATTGCACGCCGCAGCATTAATGTTTTTTGCTACATTTATGCGGATTATTATGTTTAGGTTAAACACGTGAAACTTTTTGTAATTATTTTTTTCCCACAGGATATCAACATTTTCCACCTTCTTTCAAATGAAGAAGAAGCGATAGAATTTTTCAGAGAGGCTGGAATTTTACCCAAAGAATGCGTTTGTGAACCCAGCCGTGATATGAAGTTTTATAATTCAGAATTTATAATATATATATATATTTGGGATTTTGGGTTTTTAAGGTTTTGTGCCTTTATAATTAGGACTTTTATTTTTAAAAAAATTTAAAAACAAACCGAAAAACACCAATGAACATTTTTATCAGCAAATGCTGTCAAGGCAGGTGTCATAGTACGTAAGTACCAATTTCTTAACACTGTTTTTAAACTTTTAATTAAAATATATTTTGTCTCAGAATATTAGAGATTTCTTTGGTTTAGTATGAAGTTCATAGACTCCAACCTTCAGCAAACCTTGTCAGTAGTCAACGCGCGAACGACATTTTTACAACTTTGAAAATGTGCGCGTAGCGTATGTTGTAATTAACCATTCATTAATTTTAAATTAATAATTAATTGTAATCAATTTTATTACATTTAAAATCCATATACATATAAAACTGAATAATTAAAAATATACCTTGTAAATTATATGCACATTTAATTAGAAATTTTCTTTTAACTCCTCCAAGCATTCACTAATAAAAAGTACTTCAAATCACTACTAATCATAGAAAAAATCAGAAGCTATAAATCATATCTTTATTCTGGATATGATTTCTACAGGGAAATAAAATTTAAATAACCAAGAATGATACATATAAGTATTAAACAAAATACGCATAATTTATGAATGCAAAGATTTATATGTAGCATGCTTAGGCAAGCTTAAGTTCTGATTTTGAGAATTGTTTTTTTATAACACAGTTTCTTCATTTGCCTGCATATTTATTTTTTCAATCAAAACTGCTTCAAGAGTTTTAAGACCTAAATTTGGTCGAAATTCCGTCTGATTTTTTTTTTAACAATAGAAAAAATTCTTTCGCAAGCTGCATTTGAATGAGGTATTATTAAGACAGCAAGCATTACAGAAGGCAATACTTTGTATTTAATACACCCATTCATATTTTTTAATTTGGCAATTTCTCCCCATGCAAATCTACAATTTCTTTCAAATCATCTACTTGATACATGGAAAATTCAATTTCTACTTGATTAAGACATTTTTCATCAATAATGGATGGAAAAGTATTCATCAGGTAAAGAACAGATGAAAATGAGACTTCAGTTCTCAAGTTGATGTCAGCAACTTCAGCATGTTTTAGAAATGGATCACTCAGTGGAAATTTATCAATTATATATGAACATGCAGTTACAAAAAGCTCGCACAGAATTGAAAAATGATTTCACTTCACTTTCATTCAAACTTGGCATTTTTTAAATATAGTCTTGTTTCCGCACCAATCACTAAATTTTCATTTTCTTTTGGTTTACTATACTTCTGAAATGGAATAGACGTTAGAGTAACATCTTCATTTTCTTTAGAAATTACTGATGGTTTTACGAATCTAACAAATAAATTCATTAAAAGTTCAAAAAGTTCTCTTCTCAATTTATGTATATAAGGAGCTTGTTGTTTGCAAATTAATATTTTACTGTTATAAAACAAAGGCCAAGTATTTTTCAAAAATAACAAGTCAATTTGGTGGTCGGTGACTGTAAAATTTTTTTAATGTTTGCATCTCTTTCTCTTTCCTTCATTCTCACTGTTATTCTGGTTTTATCTCCAAAAAAATTTATCACAGCATCCCACTGTTCCAAAATCTTGTTATAGATTCTAAAAGAGACAACCATCTTGTAACTGCAATATTTTCAAAATTTATGAGATTTTGCATTCTGTCCCAAAATTTGTTGAGCAACTTTGAAGCTATGCTTCCGTTTCAAACTTTTCTCCAGGTAAAAATATATATCTATTATCAACATTTCAATTTCTGAGCCAATTAATTTTTCAGTAGCTTTTTTTGCAGCTATATGCAAGAGGGTGGCACGGACAACCTCGGGTGATTATACTTGGTTGATGCATTTTGATAAATGATGCTACACCTTTAAACTTTCCAATCATATTACTAGCATTATCTGAAGAAAATGATAGCAATTTTTCCATTCTAAACCTTTGTTTTTTAAAGTTTTCATTTATACAATATAAAAATACCTTCTTCCTGTATTATTCGTGCATTCTAAAATAGAAATCAATGAAGTAATTATCACTCACTTTCACTTTTCTTACTATAGTATGTTATAACCAATGGGTACAGCTTGTTATCACTGTTATCATACTACTCCCATCAGTACTTGATAGAGAAATGATGTACTGCACACTGATTTATAATATCAGCAACAGTATTTTCTGCAAGCGTTTTCACAATAGCAGTTTTGGTATGACCGCAGCTAAATTTTTTTGCTATGGCAGAATCCGGAAAACATTGCTTTGAAAAGCTCTTTGGAATGATCCGAAACAGAAAGCGGTAGATTATGTTCAATTAAAAAACGAACAACCAAATAGCATTCGGCTTTTAAGGATCTGTTTCATCATCTTTTATTAAGAAAATTTGTTATTTCTTTAGATTTTACGGTGCAACTATGCTTTGAGAAACCATGCCATTTCATCATTTTTCCGCCAAGAGCAACCGAGAAGTCTTTGTGCATACAATGCAGTGGCGTGTTCACAGAAATTTCGACGCTAATTATTGAATCTTAAAATTCTGCTTTGAATCTTTAAACTTTGCTTTGATAATTTTGGCTTTTTTCGTTCAAAGGCAGCATTATGATTAAAAATCTTTCACCTGATTCACAGTTCACAAGACACACGCTAAGCTTCCGCGCCGTAAACTAACAATGCAGCCGAATGCAGCCTAAACACGCATCAGCGAGGACCTGGGAGACAGACAATTGGGTGGAACTATTGATAAGTCGTTAACGGTGGAGTTACTTGGCTATCTAAGAACTAGGAAAACTAAAAACGTGATATATGATAACGAGTATTCAGCAATCAATCGGATGAATTAGTTGGTCCGTTTTGAGTACTGGTTCTCCTGCTCTGTTTCTGGTAAAATCCGTAGTTTTTTTCCATACTTTTCGTAGTCGTAGTTTTTCATGAATTTCCGTAGAAACTACGGAGAATCGTAGGAGTCTATGGAGTTTATGTCTATGGATGGATTTTCCTCCCTGTTGTACAAATTATCAGCGCATTTTGTTTACGATCAGGTTGCAAATTTTTACTATAAGTGTTTTCATTTTGGGCAGAATCTAAATATAAGAACAATAAGAAAAAAACTCTAGACGAAACACTTAGAATACTACTATAAAACGAAAGAACAAACGAAACCTTTAAAAAAATACAAGAGAATTTTTTACTTTCTTGGGGAAGAAAGGAAAGTTGCGAAAATTTTCGGGATATTTCAACAAAAAATATCTATTTTGAAAATGGTACGATTTTTTTTTTTTGGGGGGGGGCATGACATCTGGGTGTATGAAGAGAATAAAGGACTCTTTTCCCAAAACAGATTGTGAAGTGGATTTAAAATGGATTCAGGTGAGATTTTTTTCACATCGTCTGTACTTATGTATGCACCTTGCATAACTCAAAAACGAATAGTATCAAAATGTTGAAATTTTGTATATGGGACTGCAATAACATGTAGTTGTGCATTTCTCTTTTTTTGGTTGCAATCAGTCGAACCAAAAGTAATAAATACATGGAAAACTATTACCGGCCTCGGTGAGCTCAGTGTTTTAATCTTATATAGTGAAATTGGCATTTTTGGCTTAAAAAGGTATGAACGTGTCTTCTTAGGGGGCTGGCTAAAGGCCAGTTGACATCGGTCAAAGCAGCTCAGAGCGAGCCGCTGTCCGGGCGTTTCGCACAAGTGACGACCTTACCTGATAGATTGTTACACCAATCAGAATGACAACTCGCTCCGTTTGTTTACGAAAGGGATACCGCATGGCAAATGAAACTATTAAATGAATAGAGGAATGACCAAATTTACACGTTACGGCATATCAGACAAGAAGAAAAAAAAAAAAAACTCAGTTTGAGAGAAGTATTTAGTCAATTTAATGAAATTCAATTAACAAAGTTTCTAAATATACAACTGTTAACACTAATTAATAATTTACAAATATAAGAAAGTAATAATTAACCAGAAAGAATAATTATTTTCATCATTGCAAAAAACCACATGGAATATTTATTCAAAGCTAGCATTAACACGACAGAAGTAAACTGTATAATATCTACCTAATTATTCAGAAAATCTCAAATAAATAGGAAGTAGCAAAAAACTTGGGAGCATTACATATATTAACCACAGGTAAAAGAATACAGTCAAGAGATACAGTAACGAATTATAGCCCAGAATGTTTTTATACAAAGCAAGAAATTTAAATATCCTCAATAAAACAGATCTACATATATTTTCATAATTCCATTTTTATTTTTATAGTTTATAATATCATATATTTATTGCATCCTCATGTAGGGATGCTTGTAGAAAAATGAATATAAGCTCACATAATTATAGAAATATGCAACATCTTAATGAAGCAGTGAAGTGTTCCCTAAAACACTTCATAAGATGCGTATGCATTAAAAAATGCCATGGTTTGGCTATTGCTTAATCTCGGCAATATAGAACTTACTGTCACGACGTCCCTGCGAACGCTGCTCAGAGTAACTGCCCGGATAGATTTTTCAACAGATTCAAAGTAGAAATGGAAACGCTGACACATCTCCCCTACATTTCTACTCCGTCGAAGTGAGCGTTTACATTGTCAAAGTAATCGCAACGAGCCGCTCTGACGGGTGTAAACTGACCTTAAGGTATCTACGATTTTAGTTAACCTCCATGCAACAGTGTAGCATTATGAACAACTTAAAATTTGTTTAAGTGCTACTAAGCCTAACAAAGTCACCATTTGTTTACATTTTAAACTCTTGTTTGAAGACGCTTTGAGTTTTTATGCATTTTTGCCTTGCTGTGAAGTGAGAATTGAATTGATTGAATGAGAAATATATCTTTAATGAAATTCGAGGTAACAAGTTTAAATGAAGAGTGGCAAAAAATGTGTGTAATTTAAATTATGATGAAGTCGTGTCCCCACATGAGATTTCTTATGTAGAGTGTTACTGTATTTAACTCGTTGTAAATTTAGAAACGGTTGCATAATATTTATAACATAAAGAATGTGTATGATAGGCGATGCATTTCTAGTCTGGCTGTTATATAAACTAGTTAATGTGTATGTTATTTGTTACTTTAAATTTCATAAAATTATTTTAAAGAAACCCCTGCCAGGCCGGATCATTAGTGATCGTGGGTCAGATTCAGCCCTTGGGGGAAAAAACTTAGAGCTCTTTTTTCATTAGCTGACCATACAACAATCTGCAGATCATAAGCACTTTTAAACAGTGAAAAAAAATTAATTCACACCAAATTCTGCTTTATTTCAAAAGGATTTTAAAAAACCTTAAATCTCTTAATTTTATTGCCTATATACATGATATTTCACCTTGAAGAAATATGGTTGCCTACATTAAAGCATCATTACTTGTTTCCTCAAAGACAAATTTGAAAATAAAGATTAATTTGAAAATATATAAAAAGATTAATTGAAAATAAAGTGATTCAACTAAGATACGCATATTCAGATAAGAGAATACGCAAAATTAAATAAACTGTTAGAATAAATGTGCATAAGATTTATACTGAATTACAGAACTAATATAAAATATACAAAAATCATTTAACTTTCATGAGCTTGCTTATACACAAATCTAGCAAAAATTTTGAACTGAAATACTTACTTCACGATTTTTTTCTTTGACTTCATATATTTTACCAAAACCTAATCTTCGCACAAAGTCCCTGATGTGGCCAAAAAATGTTAGAACGAGATAGCAGAAGTACACAGATAAAGCAATTATTAAAGGAGTTTCTTCAAATTCTTCCTTTATTTCTCTGGGTTTCTTTATTTCTTGTTTAACCTATAGGAAGCAAAAAAATTATACTACTAAAAAAAAAAAAAAAAAAAAAAAAAAAAAAAAAAAAAAAAAAAAAAAACACACGTCATACATTTTTTTAGTAAACTTTCATGGGACATTTAAATGTTAAAAAAGTCATTCAAAACAAAAAGATAAAAAGAAATTATAGTCCTTACTATGGCACTTTATTTAGTTTATGGAAACTTTCATAGGGACTTTTCAGTTATTCAATTATGGGTATTTGAATTTAAAAGAAAGTCAGCTCAAAACAATAATCGATAAAAAGAAATTATAGTCCTTACATATGTTCTTATCAACCATGAAAGTTGGTAGAGATCAGACCAAATTTAAGCCAACCATTCCAACGGAAGTTTATGGAAACAGATCACTCTTCAGCTAGACAAAGGTTATACTGCTTGTTATAAATAAACTTTTCAGTGGATATTCACTTATTACAGTTTTTGGTATTTGAATGTTAACAGAGAAAGACTGGCTAGCTTGGACAATAATTTGATACAATCAGTTTATCAATGTTTTTTAAAAATTTCAGATGAAAATGTTCAGCAATAAAATAGCTTCAAAGGATGTTTTACCCTGAACACACAACTTCTATCCATGAACTCCTAAGCACAACTTCAAAATAATTCTTTATTACCACGAGCTCCCGTTTAATTTAGAAGTCAAGCACCACCTTCAACGGTACAATTTTAAATTTCAGGACTTCTTTCGGTGGTTACCAACCATCAAACCTATCCTCCAGACTTTGAAAATATCTTACTATTTTTTGTTTGACCCTGTTAAAACTCCTTCAAATGTTATTTGCAGCATGTTTCTCCAATCTTTAAAAAGCATCTGCTCACTATTTGCATTATGAAATAAAAATACAAAAAATAAAAACTGTTTAATCTGATTGAAAAAAGTTTTTCAACTAATTTAATTCAGTATATTAAATAAAAAATATTTTCAAATTAATACAAGATTATCAAGCTGCATTTAATTTTTTTTTTTTTTCTTTTTTTTTTTTTTTTTTTTTTTTTTTTTTTTTTTTGTTTTTTTTTTTTTTTTTTTTTTTTTTTTTTTTTTTTTTTTTTTTTTTTTTTAACTTTTTTTTTTTTTTTTTCCTTTTTTTTTTTTTTTTTTTTTTCTTTTTTTTCCCCCCTACCTTTTTAATATTTTTGTTTTCTTCATTTTATTCCTCCCGGAAAGAAAGATTGGTAGCTTTTTTCTCTGTCCGAACCTTTTTCCTTGAACGCCCCTCGCCTTTTAATCTTCCAGTTAATAGGGAATATTAATAATAATTTGCTAAGGAAAATAACTTAATATCCTATATATTTCTAATGCACAAGAAGGGCCTGGCTCTTGGATATCCTCAGTATGACTTTGATTATCATCCGAGTCTCACTCATATGCCATGTACTTCCTTTCTTTATTTTTTCGTGAATATTCCTCATCAGAAATATCAAATATAGCAATATTGGATCCATCAAAAGGAAACTCTGTAGAGACATTAGGTATTTTTTGGAAGCAGGCAAGATGAAAAATTAAAAGCGCTTTCGCTGGGAATCAAATCGCGGACCTCTGGATACATGCCCAGCATGCAGACCACCACACCACAAAGGCATGCCAGGGAAGACGGGAGAAATACCTTATATACTCCCCCCTTTAAAAGGCGACTGGAGTTTTAGGGGACCCAATTGCTAAATCTTGGGTGTGAAGATTCATCATCCACCACCCTTTTAGTTCGGGTGTCACTGTATAGATATTAGGTATTTTTTGGAGGCAGGCAAGATGAAAAATTAGCAATGCCTTCACCGGGAATCAAACAGTGGACCTCTGGAATATGTGCCCAGCATGCAGACCACCACACCATGAAGGCATGCCAAGAAGGTGGGAGAAATACCTTATAACTACACAAGCAGAGTTATGTGCTTCGTCCACAGAAAGTCTTCTTTAAGGCATTTTCTTATAACCACTTCAAAACTCAAATACCTGCTTCTTTTTTTCTTCTTCCTATGATAAATGTTTTGCATCTGAAACTGACCTTAGATATAATTCTCCTCCCTTTCACCAACTATGAAGACCTATTTCAAAAACCGCCTACTTGTATCCTTACCCAGGAGAATTGTGTGTGTGTTCCCTACTCTCTTATCTGAAAATTAACGAAGCCAATCCCCTAAAAGCATGTTTTCAAATGAGAAATAGTTCCCTTCCAGTACCAGCTGAAAGGAAACCTGAAAAGCATTCTATTTCTCGTGTTTGTAAGTGAACAGCCTTTTGTGTGATCTTATTACAGCACTGCCGTGGACAAAGCATGACCAATTAGTCTCAGGGAAAAAAAAAAAAAGATTAAATTAAAATTTTAGCTAAACAGATATGAAGGAGGAACACAACTGGGGGTAAGTCATGGATAAGAAAAAACTGAAATACTTTTATTCATTCCTAGCACAGGGTCAGTAAAATCCCCATTTGCCCATGAACATAATATTTAATCATACACAACTATACCATATTATATCATAAACAACTGTAATAAAAATAAACTTTCTCACACAATACATAAAGCCCTGTACTTCCATCTATTCGCTAATAATGGATGCTGGTATAATTTATGTACTAATTTTAAAACCACATAAATAATCTACTTTAAAGAGTTACAATATCCAAACTTCTAATTTTCTTTTCACTTCCTGCAACATTGTGTTTATCAATCATTCCTCTTTATGAATAACAATTCTATATCTTTAGCTGTTTCATTATTGTTGTATTTCTCAGACAAAAAAGGCAAAGAAAAATTACAAAAGCATGTGTCTGAATACAGCAATACTTTTGTTGGCAAGCTGCCAAATGCTAACCTCTTTCATTACTATTCAATAAACATTTATAAATAAACCCACCCATAAATTTTTAAATTATTTTCTTGCACATAATTTTCTTTGTAAATAGATTAACAGTCAGTTTTAACACACTTAATGTAAAGAGTGAAGCAAAGAAGAAAATTGTTGGGATAACTATGGAGGTGAAAACAAGATTTCTGAAAAATACAAATATGTAAGTACATAAGTACCTTCTTTTTTAATTAACTTGATTTCCTTTTCACAGAACATTAACTTATTCTACATAAGTTTTAAATCTTACCACAAAAGATCACGTTCCTTACCAATAATTTAAATTCGTTTCTTGAACAACTTTACTTGATAGTTATTTAACTATGACCAGTATTTTGTAATGCAATCCCCCCAAAAAAGTATAACATTATTAAAGGAAAAAAATAATTGATATTCAATTTAATTATACCTGTAATTAATCAGCAGCATCTCCCTTCCCCATTGAAAAAACTGAATAAATGCAATATAGCAAGCTTATCTTCATGTTAAACAGCACAGATTAAATCATTTACAGCACAAGTGTCATCAACTTCAGAAATATTAAGTTCTAAAGAAAGTCTATTATAAAAAATAGAATTCAGATTGTCCACATTTTGAACACTGAAATCAAAACATTATGAATGAATAACTTTTCATTCTACACATACATATGTGTAAAATGTGTCGTGCACATATAGTAATGGCCATATCACAAAACTTCCAATTCATAAAGGCTGTTCAAATTTCTGAATATATTGGCACAAAATTAATTTGATAATGGCAGTACTAATAAATCAGTAATATTTAATAATTAATATTACTGATTTATTAAGTAAGTTTATATTATCAGTAATATATATATATTTATCAGTAATATTTAATAATTAATATTACTGCTTTAAATATCAAGAATGTACAAAAATTTATAGGTTATAAAAAATGCAGTTGTTAAAAATATATCTTAATTCAAACCATTTAAGAAATCAGTAATTGACAAAAGCATTTCTTTCCTGTTGACTTAAAAAAGCAAAATTTACACAGAAATGATTAAATACAATTCCTTTCACAGCAGTTTGAATTTAGACGCCTATTTCAGCTCAACACAAGAAGTAAGACTAATTTTGAATATGCAATATCCATCAAACAGCACAGTAATGGCAATTCACAATAATTTAGATACCTATTGTTTCAGTTTATGCTCATTTTTCTGACAAACATGATTTAACTTTTTATTCTTCTCTTGGGCTACAACCCATAAAGATCTTGTTGTTTACTTCAAGTTCCTTCAGCATTATTTATTGACATAGTAGTATGATTTCTGTTTAGTTTTTAATATCAGTGAAAACAGGTGCTACTGATTCATCAACTTTCAGATATTGGAAAGCTATTTCAGAACTTTGCAGCTATTTAATACATCATCAGTAAAGACTAAGCATAAGCAGAGTTTCTGAATCTTTAATTCAGTTTAGTGTTAGAAATTACTAAACATACGGGCTGGGAGAAAACATATTCACTATTGCATTACTCACTCTTTACTATTCAATGCAGAATAGTGAAAACATATTCACTATTCAATACAGAAAAATGGGATATTATACTAAACATAAAATGGTAATAAAAAATCTAAAATAACTTGCTTATTATAATACTTCACACAGGGTTTTTATTATTATTGTTTTATTTAAGAATAGTTAAAACTCCTTGTGTATAGTAATATGCAAGTTAAAAAATATACAACACAAAATAAAATAGTACTCTTCTGTTATTGGGATCAGATTCAGAAATGTATGTACGTATTTTGAATGTGTATGTATATGTGTGTGTGTGTGTGTGTGATTATGGCAAAGCCTCGAGGACTACCTGCCTAAGGGGAGGGACGCTTTCGTGGAGGACTTTCTAAGGGAAACTGGCTCGTATACACATTACACATGAGAAAAACACCCATGCAGCCAGCCTGTTCGCTGGATTCGAACCTCGGACCGAACTACCAGTGTTCAGCGACTTTACCACTCGACCACTGGTGGGCCCTGTATATATGTGTGCACATACGTACATGCATACATTTTTTAACCCGGTCCCAATAACAAAAGAGCACCAACAAAGCTACAAATTCACAGACGAAATGCAAGAAATAAATAT